GTTTGGTATTACTGAGGGTGAGATGTAGGGGGCAGGGGTTGGGGTGAGGTCAGAGGTAGGCAGGGGCTGGGTTAAGAAGTCTAGCCTTTACGCTATAGGCGATGGGGGTTTTTAGCTGGAGAGGGACGTGGTCAAGGATCGTTGGGAGAGCAGTGAGGGTGGGGAGGAGATCGACTTACAAAACTAGTCAGTCCCCACCATGGTGAGGTGGTGCCCAGAGAGCACGGGTACAGATAGGATTTCTGCTCCCTGTGACACAGGAGGCCCCAGGCTGGGACAGGTGAGAGGCGGGTCACCCCGAAGCCCCGGCCAGGAGTTTCCTAGGAGCAGGGAGCAGGTGACCTGCCCCAGGCATCCAGTCCCACGAGAGTTCTGCTCTCTTGTCTTTCTTATAGACAGAAATTATGGCATTTGAAAGTCACTCCTTTGACTAGCGTCCTGCTCATGAGCCCACTGTGGAGCATAGCTCCTCCGGGAGGCCGGCTCGGCGGTGACAGGTGGGGAAGTGGGCTTGGCAGATGCAGCCTGGATCTGGGTTCCAGTTCCGCTGCTCTCCGGCTGCGCGCCCAGGGAGGAATTCCATCTCTGCTTCTTCCGCTGTAAGGGTGTCTGGTTTGGCTTTTACCGACTCCTGCTGAGGACTCACGATTCTCCAGCTCCACCGTCATAATGATACTGCCTGATCTCCCCCGTGGGAGCATCACCCACGTGCAAAGGGCCTCACAGGGGCCGGGCAGCCTGCCCAGGGACACGTGGTAGGAACCGGCCCAAAGGCCCTCGCTCCCGGCCACCTCGGACCACTGCGGAGCCCAGGACCCCTCGGAGATGGCCCCTTTGCAGATGGCCAGCATGGCGAGACTGTCACCCGCTGCTTACCTGCTGCAGGTCCTGCGTGAACCAGCCTCTCGTGTCTCTGGTCGGTTTCAGCTCTGGTTTCCCACCGGGAAGGTGGGGAGGCTGCCGTGTGGCAGACGCAGCAGCTGGGAGCCCCCGCTTCCCCCCCAACCCGGTGAGGGTGAGACGGCCTGTCCTTGTCTGGTCGGCACCAGAGAGGATCAGCGGCAGCGATCGGAGGGGCCGAGGTGCACACCCAGGTCCCTCAGGCTGCCTTCCGTCCCCCCACCTGCACCTCCCCGGCGACCAGGGGCTCTCATGAGCCGCCCGCAGCCTACTGCCAGGGAGAAGGGGGTGCAGAGCTGCAGCAGGAGGAACCCGCTCTATGGCGGGGCACCCAAAGGGCTGGGGCGTGCACACAGGGAGGCGTGGAGGTCACCTGAGCCTTCCCATCTTAAGCACCTGTGCGCAAACACACACGAATATACGCACAAAGAAAAACACAAATACGTGTCGTGCGAGCCTCCTTCTGTCCCTCTCTCCTGCCGCTCAGCCTCTCTGTGCCCCTGCCTTCACCATCTCTCTCTGGCCTGTTTTCTCTGCTTCCCCGTGTGCTGCGATCGGCCCCGGCTCCTGAGCTGGCCCGTTCGGGCAGGGCGTCCCGCGTGGTCCTGTCATCAGTGTGAGGTGGAGGGGCGAGGGTTTGCACAAAGGTGTCCGGCCGAACGGGGATCCCCCGCGGGCCTGCTGGCACCGGGAAGGGGCCGTCACACAGGGGCAGTGGCAGACGGATCACTGGAGGTTCATTCATCCTCTGGGCCCCTCGTTACATCGGGCATCGTGCATTCTGCGATGTGACTTCTCAGCTCGTTGGAAGGGGGAAGCTGTCTCCCCGCGGTGAATCTGGCGGACGACCTTATGACTAGTTTTGGCCCATAGAATCCAGTGGAAGTGCTGCTGTGCCCGTCCGAGCCTGGCCCCTAGGTGCCCCGGGCCCCTCTGCTCTCCTGCCGAGCCCTGCGCACCTTGGGTACAAGCCCGACCGTCCTGCCGGCGGATGACAGAGCATAGGGAGCAGGGAGAAGCTGGCCCAGCTGGAGCCTGGGAGCCCGGCCACGAGAGCAAAGCCGCGGACTGGCCCGCAGTGACTGCAGGTGCACCAGCCAGCCCAGGCCAACAAAACTGCCCAACCAGCCTGCAGACTCCCTCCTAAGCTTTTGGGGGGGGTTGTTACGCAACAATGGACAGCTGATACAGGCACCGTACGCACGCCTGTGAGTCACGTAGATATACGGCTGCGGGAGCAGCTCTCAGAGGTGTGGGGCCTCACTGTGACTCCAGCAGGGCCCCCAAATGTGGCCGTGGCCCCTCAAGAGAAGCGTCCTCGTGGTCAAGAACAAGGCTGGGGCGTCCCATACGTAGACCTGAGCCTGAACACAAGATCTACCACGCCGTGGCCGGGCTCCAAAGATGGCCCCCAATGAGCCACATCTCCTGGTGCCCCCCCCCTCGTTCGGTCGCCTCCCACGCCAGATCCGGACCGGCCACCGATCTCGCAGCCAAAGTGGCGCCGGGCCAGGGCCAGACCTAAGCCTTCGGAAGATCTGGCAGCTTGGGACCTTCCGCTGTGGGAAGGCCGCTGACCATCCCCGTGAAGAGAGGCCACGTGGGGAGGCCCTCGTGGCTGAGGCACTGTGGAGAGAGAGGCCACCCAGAGGCCGTCAGGCTCCAGCTAAGTGAGAGAAAAGCTGGTTGGACAATCCACTCCCGGCCACCATGTGACTGCACTTGCGTGAAAGACCCACGAGCAGAACTGACCGCCCAGCTGAGCCCAGCCAACCCACGGAGCCACGAGAAGTAGTAACAAAGTGCTGTTTTGCCTGAACTCTACCGCCCTTCGCAAACCGTGACCCTCAGCCCACGAGGGCGGCCTCCTTCCCCCGAGCACCCAGGAAGAGCGGCTTCGGAATGACGCTTCTGTCCCCGCTCCAGCCATCGGGGTTCCAGAAACGTGGGTCTAGCCTTAGCCCTGTAACACGTCTTCCCAGAATGCACTCTGAGGTCGCTTCCCCCGTTCGAGGACCCCCGCCGTCCCCTCCCGTCTGTGCCTCTGGAAAGGGATGGTTCATGTTCTAGTTACACTTTGAATGTTGCCTCCCCTGGGGGTCCCCCGACACCTTCCCCAGCCTCTGAGGCGGCCAGGGTGCTCCTTCTCCTGTGTTCTGCTGCCCCCTGCATCTGTCCATTACAGCCGTCAGTGCCCCGTGTTGCAGTCTGCCCCAAAGGCGACCTCTGAAGGCCAAGGCCAGCTCTTCCCATCAGGTGGCACCGAGCGGGGGGTGGGGGGGCCCGGGACAGGGGAGAGGCTCAATCAATCCCCATGGGGTGAGTAAGGCCAGGCCTATCTCCAGGGACAGAGCCCCGGGGACATGGGTCCAAGCAGGGCTGGGCCGGAGACAAGCGGACGTGGACAGTGTGGGACGAGGCACGCCCGGATGAGAGGAGGTGGGCGTGAGTGGCGCCGGAAAGCCCTTGGGACGACGGAGCCCAGGCCTGTCCTCGGGGATGGGAGGGACGGGCGCCCTGTCACTGTCGTAAAGGCTCTTTCATTGTGGCCATCTTCAAAGGAGCTCGGTCGGGTTGTATCCCCTGAAACAGAGGGGAAATCCGGTGGTTTTCTAGATGGTGTCCAATCAACATGGCCAGCAGCACCCCAGCGTCTCCTCAGGACTCCTTCAGCACGTGCCCCCGGGCACACCCCCCTGGCCCCCAGCCCACCCTGCGGGCCGTCAGCAGGAAGGCAGTGCCGTCGCCAGCCTCCGATGTCTGCAAACAGGCTTTCCGCAGCACGAGAGGAAGCAGGCGTGAGCCAGGCCCAACATAACCCACTGGGAAGTAAGCTGAGACTCACACGAGCGGCCAAGGGTACGACACCCAGGATGAGTGGGGAGTTGACCTGCCTTCTTGGCAGCCTGGTGATCAGACGCCCTAGATGCCAGGCTGCTGCCACATTCTGGATAAATGTCTACAGACGTAACTTCATTGCATCGCTGAGCTTGTAAGAAAGCCCCACCTTCCAAAAAAAAAAAGAAGGAGGAGGAGGGGGAGGGCGTGGGAGGAGAAAGAGCTGGAACTAGATACATGAGCAATGATCACTTTCCCCGGGTGCTCATAAGAGATGGAGACTGAGCTGTTGCAAAGTGGTGGGCGGTCAGGAGGTGACCCCAAGACTCCGCCCATCAAGCTGCAATCCTCAAAGAAGGCGACCTTCTCCAGGAGAGAGTGGTGCCAACGGAATCTGCCTGCCCGCAGAGGGACCCTGCTGGGAAATCTGGGTGTCTGCTTCAGGGCTCCAGATAGGAGATATTTAACGACGATAGTAATCTCCCTTGAGAGTTTGCAACCGTAGCAGAGGACCTGAGTAAATATTTAAAGAAGACATCCAGATGGCCAACGGACACACGGACAGATGCTCAACATCACTCGTCATCGGGGAAATGTACATCAGACCACAAGGAGACAGCACCTCACCCCAGTCAGGGTGGCTCACATCAAAAAAGCAAGCAGTAACAGGTGTTGGCGAAGATGTGGGAGGAGGGCATCAGTTGGGCACCGTCGGTGGGAATGCAAACTGGTGCAGCCCCTGTGGAGAACAGGGTGGAGGGTCCTAAAAAAAAAAAAAAAAGAAAAGAAATATCAAAAGATCCAACAATGCCACTACTGGATATTTACCCAAAGAAAACGAAAACATTTATTCAGAAAGATATCTGCACCCCTATGTTTATTGCAGCATTATTTACAATGGCCAAGATATGCAAGCAGCCCAGATGTGCATCGGCTATTACGAAGGACAGACAAGATGTGTTTATATGCAGTGGGATAGTCCTCAGCCATAAAAACAATGAGATCCTCAGCCAGCAATCTCTGGACGATCGCCGGTATTTTATGAGAAGTCAGACAGAGAAGGACGAATACCATATGATTTGACCTTGATGTGGAGTCTTAAAAGCAAATGAGCAAACAAATTTTAAAAAGCAGAAACAGGGCTCGGTGGCTCAGGACGCTGGGACCTGTCCGCTTTTTTAAGCTATCATTTATCTTGAGAGACAGAGAGAGAGAGAGAGAGTGCAAGCAGGGGAGGGTCATGGAGAGAGAGAGAGAGAGAGAGAGAGAGAGAGAGAGAGGATCTCAAGAGCCAAGACACAAGAGCGGAGCCAGCCTGGTTAATCTCAAACTGTGAGATCACGACCTGAGCCAAAATCCAGAATCAGATGTTTGGGGCACCCGGGTGGCCCAACAACGCCTGTCTCTGGATTTCAGCTCAGGTCATGATCTCACAGTTTGTGGGATTGAGCCCCGAGGCAGGCTCCACGCTGACAGTGTGGAGACTGCTTGGGATTTTCTCTCTCTCTCTTCCTGCCCTTTCCTGGTGTGTTTTTTAACAAATAAATTGTAAAAAAAATAATAATAAAATAATAAAAAAGCAGAAACAATCGTAAATACAGAGAACAAACTGGCGGCTGCCAGAGGGGAGGGGGTTGGAAGGATGGGGAAATAGGGGAAGGGGATGAAGAGATACAAACTTCCAGCTATAAAATAAGCAGGTCACGGGGGGTGAGAAGTACAGCCCGGGGAATAGAGTCGATACTATTGTAATAAGGTTTTATGGTGACAGGTGGTGACCACTCTTACGGTCGAGAGTATAGCTTAACGTATAGAATTGTCGAATCCCTATGTTGCACACCTGGAATTAATATCACATCATGTGTCAACTATACTTGAATTTAAGTTAAAAAAATACAAATAAAAAAAGCATTTGCAACCACAGGCGTGT